ACACACACACACACACATATATATATATTCTGCTTGTTTGTTTTTGAGACAGAGTTTTGCTCTGTCACCCAGGCTATAGTGCAGTGGCACGATTTTGGCTCACTGCAAGCTCCGCCTCCCGGGTTCACGCCATTCTCCTGCCTCCTGAGTAGCTGGGACTACAGGTGCCCACGACCACGCACAGCTAATTTTTTTTTTTTTTTTGTATTTTTAGTAGAGACAGGGTTTCACCACGTTAGCCAGGATGGTCTCGATCTCCTGACCTCATGATTTGCCCACCTCGGACTCCCAAACTGCTGAGATTATAGGCGTGAGCCACCACACGCAGCCCCTGATAATAATATTCTGATAATAATAATGAGAATTATAATAATAATGAGAATAAAGTTATTCTAGGTACAAAGTTTATCATTTTCTTACTATATAATATGAAATGGGGGAAGTCTGCTCAATTCTATCATAATCACAAATTATCATTATTAGGATCAGACTAACAAAAAAAGTAACAATTCTTCTTATTCTCCTTTAAAAAAAGACTTTGTCATAAATATACCTTGCAGTAAAAGAACAATGAAGAATGTTTTTATTTTGCTATCTCATTTTCTCCAATTTAAGAGCAAATAATTGGTTCCTATTTTATTCACCAATAAAAAAGTTTTATTTTTAATTGGTGATTTGCTAATGTCATCTAGTTTAGCACATTTTAGTAATGCAATTTATTAAAATGGAATAAAATGGGTACATAGTTTTATGGGAAAATTGATAGCCAGACACCTCAAAAATATACTTTATTTGTGGAAAATTCAGAAAGACAGAGAGAAACAAGTATTTTTAGATATTACTACAATGTTTTTTGATAATTTTAAAGAATATAGAAAGAGCATAATCTGCAATATGCAGAAAACAGAATCTATGTTACTTTTTTTGTTCGTTTGTTTGGCCTAAGTTAGAACTCTAGAAAATGGTACCTTTTACTCTGAAGCCTGTTACCTGCTACCTATTTCACACATTAGGCTTAAAAACAATGAAAAACCTTTACTAAGGAGTAAAAACCTTCAACAAAATATTTGAATAGAAAAAAAAAGAATGTAGAACAATTCTTTCCATTTTCTATTCCCAATTAAGAGCATGAAAATTTAACCTGAGCATATCAGAAAAATGAGAAAGAAATAAATTTGAATGATGCGAAAATAACCTTTCACTTCTTAAAAATTATGCTCTGAGAACTACACCAAGAAATTTATTTTACTGTTTATAGGATATCAAATAATTAACACTACTACTAACTGTAACAGAAAATATAATTACAACTAAGTCAATTAGTTTCTTAAAAAGCAAATATAATCAGCTACATATATAGGCAAAAATTTTTTTAAAATTGAATCATCACCTACTATGTCCCACAAAAGTTAAAAATTAAAAAGAAACTATATTATACCCGTGACTTCCACAATTGTGGAAGGAAAACATTGCTCTAAGCTCTCCTCCTCCCTGGCTGTATTCACTCAATACTAAATATGGCAAATAAGCAGCAGTTTAAAAAGAAATCAGCTCTACAAATGTTCACAGCAACATTTTTCATAACAGCCGAAGAGCAGAAACAACCCAAATGTCTGTCAACTGACAGCTGATAAAATGTGTGACACCCATATGAAGAATATGTGGCAATTTTTTAAAATGCAGTACTCCAGCATGAATGAACCTCAAAAATATTTTGCTATTAATAAATAAAAGAAGCCAATCACAAAGATCCACATAATGCATGATTACATTTACGTAAAATGTCTGGAATATGCAACTCTATAAAGACAGAAAGTAGATCAATAGTTGTCTCAGGCTACAGAGAATAAAGGATTGTGGAGTTATAGCTAAGGGATGAGGACTTTGTTTTGGTGTGGCAATGAAAATCTTCTAAAATTGATTATGGTAAAGATTCCACAAATCTGTTAATATACAAAAAAAACTGAATCACATTTTTTGTTTTTTGGTTTCCTTTGAGACAGACAGTCTCGCTCTGTTGCCTAGGCTAGAGTGCAGTGGTGCAATCTCAGCTCACTGCAAACTCCACCTCCCAGGTTCACACCATTCTCCTGCCTCAGCCTCCCGAGTAGGTGGGACTACAGGCGCCTGCCACCACACATGGCTAATTTTTTTGTATTTTTAGTAGAGATGGGGTTTCACCGTGTTAGCCAGGATGGTCTCAATCTCCTGACCTCATGATCTGCCCACCTTGGGCTCCCAAAATGCTGGGATTACAGGCATGAGCCACCACACCTGACCTGAATCACACATTTTAAATGGGTAAATGTTATGATATGTTAATTTAGTCTGACTAGAGTTGTTAATAAAAGAAATTAAACCTGTATTAAAACTTTATATAAACAGAATTCTCAATATTTATTTAAGTCTTAATATTTTCTATAGAATAGTAACCCATAAAATTCCAAACTTTTAACCGATAGTTCTCTTTCTAGATATTTACTAGCTAAACATAAATTTATCATGACTATAGAAATGTTATTTTTCCACAGAAGAGCACCTTCAATAAAATTAGAACTACCCATAAAAGAAATTACTTAATTTATCCCCTAAATTTTTTAAATCAACATGGTTTGCCTTCAAGTTCATACTCATCAATTTAATTTGTAGCTAATTAAAATAAAGGTCAGACAGATTTACCTTTATGTCTGACAGCCAAAACAAACATTCCAAATAACCAAGAATTAGACTGCAATAGTCAAAACTTTCCAATAAATGAGGAGATCATGTCACTTACCAGGACAATAATGGCTTGTTAAAGCCATTATTCCCTCACAGTTTAAAACCTCATGTAATGTAATACTGTTGTAAACAAAAGGATGGGACCCCAGTTTTACCAACATTTTTATAAACCTTTTATTCTCAAATAATTACAAACTCATAGATAGTTGCAAAAAAATCAGATAAAGTAATTGTTCGACTTTCCTCTACAAACTTTTCTTTAGGGTTACTCTTCATTAATCTTCAGATGAATAAAAAGCCTGGGATCAGATGACAGAGAAACTTGTTAAAAGCACCAGATTACAACAGACCAATCAGACAAGGAAAGACACAAAAATAGAAAGGAAAAAGAAAAGCAATAGGAAGGAAAAGGAGAGAAGGGAAGGGGGAGCTCAGAGACAAGATGGGAGAGAAGAGACGGAAGAAAGCAAAGAGAAAAGAGAGGAGGAGGAGAAGGGAAATGAGGCTAGTAGTATATGAATTAAAAGACTCTGGTCCCTCAAGCAACTAAATGGGCAAGGTCTATGTCAGTGATGGGGAACATATCCCAGACCTCCACGCCAATGTCATCTAACAAGCCCAGAATGCATGAAAAGGGGTTCTCTTCCAAAGGTTCCTACCGGACCCATGCCATAGAGACCCTCTACTCAGGTCTTCAATTCTGCCTATTCCAAGAGAAACAAATCACAACATAGGGTTCCTCACTAGCTATTCACTAACACTGTCATCTGAAATGTCCATACTAAATTATTAGTTTCACAGCTCCTATCATATTCTCATTTTGTTTTTTCTTGAGTCGGAGTCTCGCTCAGTCACCCAGGCTGGAATGCAGTGGCATGATCTTGGCTCACTGCAACCACCGTCTTCGGGGTTCAAGCAATTTTCCTGTCTCAGCCTCCTGAGTAGCTGGGACAGGTACCCGCCATCATGCCCAGCTAATTTTTGTATTTTAGTAGGCTGGTCTTGAACTCCTGACCTCAGGTGATCCGCCTGCCTCAGCCTCCCAAAGTGCTAGGATTACAGGCATGAGCCACCGCACCTGGCCTATTATTTTTCAAACACCGTTTGTTTACTTTTAATTTTTAACTTTGTTTTTTTTTATTTCAGATTTGGCTTTTCTATTCCTATCATATCAAGAAAATATAAAATGGCCAAGCTGCCCAGAACTTTAAAAGAAAATGCATAATTTTTACTTTTATTAAGTGTGAAACAGATTTACTTCGTATCTATTAACACACTGGCTTCTAAACTTTGCTGCGCATTAGGATCATCTGAGGATCATTTTAAATTTCCCAATGTCCAGGTCACACCATGCCAATTAAGTTTTAAAAGTATGGAGGTGAGAATCAGGTATTAGTATTTTTTAAGACGATCACTCTTGAACAATTATACCAATAAAAGCCTCTTTTCCTTTTTTAAGAAAAGAAAGAGAAATTAAACGAATATTAGTTATTCAGCTTGAATATTAAAATGTTTAAGTCTAAATGTGTCTTTTTAGCAGTATTTTTGGAAACATCTATAACCTTGGGTTTCCTTATTATTCATGTAAGCTCAACTTTTCAGTTATTAACATTAAAACAATGAAAAGACCTAATTTACCTAATTGGCAAAACATCTCAAAAGTTAAAGTAATTTATGAGACTAACATAGAATAAACAGTTCATATAATTATATCTTATACAAGGTAATCTAATAATTCTACTACAGGAAAAGCAACCTAGGAAATGGTTACATTGTTGTGTGCCAAGATGTATCTGTAAGATAAATTATGACATAGTACAAATAGGAATTCTATATGTTAAAAATAATGCTAGGCCAGATGCAGTGGCTCATGCCTGTAATCTCAGCATTTTGGGAGCCCAAGGTGGGCAGATCATGAGGTCAGAGGAGATCGAGACCATCTTGGCTAACACAGTGAAACCCCGTCTCTACCAAAAATGCAAAAAAATTAGCCGGGCATGGTGGCAGGCGCCTGTAGTCCCAGCTACTTGGGAGGCTGAGGCAGGAGAATGGTATGAACCTGGGAGGCAGAGCTTGCAGTGAGCTGAGAACGCGCCACCACTACAGCCTGGGAGACAATGCAAGACTCCGCCTCAAAATAAATAAATAAATAATGCTATAAAAGAATATTAAAAGGCATGCAGAGCTTCATATCAACATTTTCATATAAACCAATCACAAAACAATTAAAAGAAATATATGTCATTTAAGAATAGATTTTATATACACACAAAACTTACTTGCAGTTGAACTGAATTGTGGCGGAGGCCTTCCACAATACAAAAAAATCTGTCAATTTTTTTCTCTTCACCAGCTGAAGTTAAAGCTTCTAAAACTTCTTCAAGGCTATTAGAAAATTTGAGTCAATTAAATTGCAAGTAGCAAACACAAATGCCATAATACAATTGCTTTATCCTACTAAAGTCAATATCCTAAGCAGCCAATATATTTTACAAGCAGTTTACCAAGTACATACCATGTATCAAGCACAGTTCTAAGCATATTACATTTTAATCAGTTATGCCTGACAATAACCTTGTGAAGATGTTTATCAAGCATTTATATAATGCTTACTAACATCAGGCACCATTTAAACCACTTTACAAATATCAACTCATTTTAAAGTATATAACAACTGTTTGGGGTGGGTACTATAATTAACCCATATTATAGGTTAGGAGACTAAGGCAGAAAAAGGTTAAGCATTCTGTCCAAGGTCTCACATCTGTGAAATGGTGGAGCAAGAATCTGAAATCAGACAGTTTATGTGGTGGGCACCATATAAATGCTCTCAACCACTGCACCCTTATGCCTCAAAAGTTTAAGTAAACGAAGTTGTATGATAGTCGAAAATATATAATAGTATGGTATTATAAATATTCAATTATAAAATATAATAATTATGCAAAAACTATACTTCCACTTCTTTTAAATAGTTAACAGCATCCAGCACACTGGAGAAGCTCACAGTTCGTGGACATGGGCATGCAGTCGTAAATGTTATTTACAGGATATTGACACCCATTCTGAAACAAGGAAAGGGAAGGATAACAGAATAGGGAAGGGAAAAGAAAAGCAAGGGCGAGTCCAAGAGGAAAGAGGAGGAAGAAAAGGGAAAAAGAGGAGGTTAAGAGAGAATTTAAAAATGATGGGGGAAAGGGGAAAGGAAGAAAGTGGGAAGGGAAGCTCAGAAAGTATATGTCCACATAAAGTCACTCTTAGATTTGTACACCAACATTTATACAGTCTTAAGTACTGAAGTTGTAAGCCTGGCTTTGCAAGCTTGGGACTGCTGCTAGGTGTGGCTACACCTCTTCTATAGATAAACACTGTAGGCACACTTTGCGGGCAGACTGCCAGGCCAAGGCCGAGTGGTGTCTTTGACTATCCAACCATCAAGCTGAACCTGCTCAATCCCTCCAACTCCAGCAGGACCTCCACAAGGCTGACTTTCAAATGAACACAGGAGGCTGCCCTTTTAGGGTTCTGCCAACCCCTACATGTGTGGGATATTTCTGTTAGTTCTTTTGGCTGTTTAGTTTTTATATTTTTATCTTTTTTAAAAGGCATTTTAAATAATTTTTAAATGCTTCCTTATAATTAGAACCCTAATTTTTAAAAATCTTTATCTTTATAATTATCTTTAATATGTATGTAACAGTATTTAATTACACTCCTAACACATGTGGTTAAGTTCTTTACAGCACTAGTATGTGCTTTATGCTCAAGGACTTTGTACCCTCAACCAGTAAACCACAATTACATAAATCATTTTCTAGTCTGCCTTACATATAGATTTCCAAATCATAATATGTTTGCTTTTACAAGGGGATAGAGAAGACCTACAGTTTGAAATAATTCTATCTGGGGGAAAAAAAAAATCACATAAGAAACAGAACCGTTTGTATATTTCCAAAGCCTTCATTTAGAATGTTTTAAATTTAGGGTTTCAGTTAAAACAAAAGTTTAAATATGATAAAGAAATCAGTTTTTCATAGAAGTATTTTAGCCCATAACTAACAAATCAATTAAGATAAACAATTATTACTCAAAAATTTCCGGCCAATAAGAATCTAACTTAGCTACTTAAATATTTAAACATTTATTTAAATTCTAGTAAATTCTAGCCTAGAGTAGATAACGAAACATTAAATGAATCAATCTGTATTAAATTATTATATGATTAGAGAAAAAGGTTGATAACACTTACATGCTTTCCTCCCCTACAATGCATACCGCAGAGAGAAGTTTAACCACATCTGTCATCATATTGGGGTGTCTGGGATCCATGGCTTTGGCCAATAAGGAAAGACTCCTCTCCTCACTCATAATTCTTTCCAAGCCATACTGTGATATTTTGAAAATAAGATGTCAAATGTTAGAAATTAATTAGAAAAATAATGCCCTGAAGGAAATGTAATTACTAAAAAATTATTATAGGATAATATATTTTTACACTTACCAAAGCTAAAAAATATAGACTGTGTAACACTCTAAAAAGTTCATGGCCAGGCACCATGGTTCACACCTATAATCCCAGCACTTTGGGAGGCAAAGGTGGGAGGATCACCTGAGGTCAGGAGTTCGAGACTAGCCTGAGCAACATGGAGAAAACCTGTCTCTACTAAAAATACAAAATTAGCCGGGCATGGTGGCACATGCCTGTAATCCCAGCTACTTGGGAGGAGGCTGAGGCAGGAGAATTGCTTAGACCTGGGAGGCAGAGATTGCAGTGAGCCGAGATCGTGCCATTGCACTCCAGCCTGGGCAACAAGAGCAAAACTCCGTCTCAAAAAAAAAACAAAAATTCATAAGGGTATTCACTTTATGTCAAGAACCACAAAACTAAACCAAATAAAGATAACTCAAGGTGATTTTACAACAATACAGCTGATAATTATTAAGACAGGTTAATTAGCCAAATGGAGAAAGAGGGAAGCAGTAAGAAATATGGGATTAGCCAACAGAAACATATGAAACAAACAGCCAGATACGGAACCAGACACTGAGGTCATGAAAATCTTTTTCCTGGGAAGGAAGGTTGGTAAGAGATATATTATCATAAGCAAACACACAGATCAGCACTGTCCAAGAGAAATGTAAAGTAAACCACACGAGTAATTTAGAAATTTCAAGCAAGCAAAACTATTTTCAATAAAATTAATCCAATATATCCCAAATATTATCATTTCAACATATAACCAATATAAAACATTTATTGATGACATTTCACTTCTTTTTCTTCCTAAACAGTTGAAATCCAGTGTGTATTTTACACTGTAGCACATCTCAATTCAGACTAGCCACATTTCAAATGCTCAGAAGCCACATGTAGCTACCATATTACAAAATATAGGCCTAGATATTAGCATTTAGTTCATAAATAAGCAAAAACTGAAGTATGATTTGGGCAATTACCATGTAGAAACTGCCATAATGGACACAGGTATTCTAATCACAAAGGTATTTATTATAAGGAAAACAATGTGGTTGTAAACTCATTCTATAAATGGGACGATTGGGATTAAGATAAAGTTTATTTACTACTGCCAAGAAGTCAAATCCAATTAGAAGATAAGAAATTATGTTAATGACATATCTATGAAAGATCACTGTCAAAATACAGAGGATGAATAGAAACAATAAAACAGTACTATTTACCTAGCATGCATCTCAGAGGATCCATCTCAGAGGATTAGTCATGAGAAATTGACTAATCAGAGTTGCTACCAAACACTAAAAAAGGGCCTTATTCTCAATTACAGGCCTATGAACTAAACTCAAGATCAGCACTACATGTAAGCATCAAAGTTGAATCTATAACCAGCTTAGACCCAAGTACTTTGATTGTTATAAAATCCTGTTTATAACTTTCCTATCTTGTATATGGCCATTTGTACTGGACTGAAATATTGCATTTACTTTAAACCACTATCTAAGAAACACAGGAACAATGGAGAAAGTGCAAGGAAAGGCCAAGGGCCCCAGAATATGAATTTTGGAGAGATTACTCTGTCTTGTTTTGGAGAGATTACTCTGTCTTGTTAGTAATAGGGAAAAGTTTACAACAAGACAGCTAAACAGTCAGGAAATACTTACTTTTATGATAGCCTGGGCTATTACCTAACTGGAAAAAGAATGAAAAGGCAGGCATAGGACCAGAAACTACAATATGCCTTGATAATCATTCCAGGGAATTGTCAGGTTTATAAAGTACCACTTAGATTCAATTCAGAAAGTCAGTCAATGATTACCAAGTACAGAAGAGCTGGCTCTGTCCTAATAAACCTGGGAATTGAGTAAAGCTTGCCTCTAGTATTCCCTTTCCCTTTCCCATCTACCTGGCTAACACCTGCCCTTCTAGAATCAGAATCCTGTGACTCCTCCAGCCACCCAAGGTGACTCATGCTGACTTCCTCCAAGTGATACTACCTACCTTCTCTGTCAAGCCCTCTGTCCCTAAACCATCATGTATAAAAGGTGAAATAGGAGCATACTCTGATTTCACAGTTTTAACTGTCATCCTGTGACCCCAAAAGTCCATCCCAGGTAACATTCTCTGATTTTGGTAATGCAAAAATGTGTCACACTCATTTTAAGACTGGAATGAGGCCAATTACTACTACTCAGTATATGTAAATACAGAATTGCTACTTGTATAAAATTACTCTCAATTATTTAAAACACACAGTAAAACAAAACAAAAACTGTTGACTCTCTGTGAGAAGTTGTCAACTTACCAGTGCTAGGATTAAAGTATATTTAATGAGGGCTGTTTTAGGTTAGAGAGGCATGACAAATTTTGAAAGGTCTAAGGATGTATCTTTCTTGAATGTCAAGGACACACTCCAGACAATATGATAACTGGCCTGTTCTAAACTGAGGATCAATGCCAGGTTCCACCTGCATTCCACATGAGGCCTATTATTAGCTAACAGATGGAATTTCAGGCACTGAAGATGATGTTTTAGGTAGAAGAAAGTTAATGCCCTAAATCCTCATGTAGGATGCCCAACATCTGGACCCACACAGCATGACTACTGGTGCTGAGCAGCCACCCACAGTGAGTTAATCCCAGTAGCAGAAATAATGTGGGTAAAGTTGCTGGCTTCAGGAGCAAAGCACCCTCACTTTGGGTGCACTCTTCAAAGCAACACACACAAAGTTAACTGACCAAACTGAAACCTCTGTTCTAATTACCTTTCAATTTGAATATACTAACTTTTCATCCTTATTATCTTTTATTTTCTTTCCCCTAGGCAATTAAAATTCTCTTCTATTTAAAAAATACTCTTAGTCCAATTTAATGTTATAAGAAATTCACTTTCATGTAATGTTATCAAATTTGCTCATTAATTGTATAATTAATTACTAGTACCAAATAAGGCACATTTTTTTCCTCTTAAAACTTAAATTTTCATCATTCAATGAATGCTAACAAATACTGTATAAGTGAGGTTTAACAAATTTTGTACTTACAGATGTGATCAAATAAAGATTAAGAAAACCATTAACCAATCTTGAAGGGAAAAAAACTTTACCAAAAATTTCACATATTGCTAGGTTTAGAGTTCAGACACTATAATACTAAGTACCAATAACTTAACTTTTTATTCTTAATAACACAGATAAAAGCACCAGATAAAATGACAATATTTTATAGGTCCACGTATATAAACTACAAGTAACAAAAATCTCTTAAGAGGATAATAGTATATTAATTAGAAAATAAATAAAGTTCAATCTTCCTCAGATTCATTCTGAAACAAAGAAAGAATATTATCTTCTATTTACCACCTTACTTTAACCATGATATTCTTCTAAATTCAAATTATGATCCAAATGCCCCTTTGGTTTAAAAAAAGTTCCTAGATTTTTTCTACTTTCGGCCTTTCCATCACCAACAAAATTTCCAATTGCTATATTCTCACTCTAGAAAGGGCTTTCTAAACCAGTTCTATGTACTTAGTGGGAAAACACCTTTCCCTATCAGCAATTTGATTCTTTCATTCATTTACTCTTAAAACAGATACGTAAAAAGCTATCTTATATATCTAATATCTGATTTTCAAAGAACCATGAATTCAGCATAAAAGGAGTTGTGATTCCTCCATCATATATTTTCTTTGAAAATAATATCTGATTAGAGTAGGAAAGGAAGAAAAAACATTTCATTAATTAAAAATAGAAAGCTTACCTCCATAAAATGCTTAAAAATACATTGTTTAATAAGACAAAAATAATTAGAAAATATAAATATTTGCTAATACATTTAGTAAAAGAAATACAAAATAAATCTTAATAATTTATGTACTAGTACTTAAGTGTGTAGCCCTATAAAAGTTTATTTTTAAATGAGAATAAGGTAAAATATTATAAATTAAAATTAATCAGAAATATACAGATGGTTTTGATATAAAACAAAAATAATCATACCACCACAGGTAAAATTTCCTCCCATGCTGTCTAACAGCAACTTAAACACCTATCATTACTTCACACATCATGAGGTAGATGTGTTTAGATGCTGGAGCTTAAAGAAACGGCATAAGATAATGCTAATTTCTGCAGTTAACAGTATAAAAGCAAAAAAGAAACATTGCTAGATAAATCTAAAATCTAACTTCAGTAAAGAGCTTAAGAATTCTTCTTTTTTTCTAGTATTTTGTTTTGTTTTGCTTTGTTTTGTTTTGTTTTAGAGACAGGGATTTACTCTGTCTCCCAGGCTGGAGTGCAAGGATTCAATCACAGTTCACTATAACCTCAAACTCCTGGGCTCAAGCCACCCTTTCACCTCAACCTCCTGAGTAGCTGGGACTACAGGCACATGCCACCATGCCCAGCTATTTGTTTTATTTTTTGTAGAGACGGCGTCTCACTATGTTGCCCAGGCTGGTCTCAAACTCCTAGCCTCAAGCAATCCCTCCTGCCTCGATATCCCAAAGTGGTAAGATTATAGGTGAGAGCCACAAGCAGGTTTCTCCCTTCTAATGTAAACTCTTTATGCAAATTCCTCCATATTACATTTGTTCCCAATATTACATCATTGCTCCATTTCTGAGACCTGCTTGTATCTGTTTACATTAATTTCATTGTAGATTTTAAATTCCTAGAATATAAGAAATCTTCCCAACTTGAACCTTTGGTAATAAGTATTATTGCAGCTCACATTTAATAATCATGATCTTAAAGCTGACTCATGCCATACTTTTGAGAGTTAAGAGAGAGAGGAAATTAAGGAAGGAAGAAAAGAGGAAGACGAGGACAAAAAAGTGGAGAAAAGGTGGTGGAGGGAGAGAAAAAAAGAAAGAAGATGGGATTGGGGGTGGGCAGGGTTGAGGGGAAGGAAAGGGTGGGGAGAGAGAATTAACCTACACATGAGGAGTTCAGCATCAGAAGAAACTTCACTATCAAGTTTCTCCTATTGCAAGACAGTTGAAACTAGAATTCAAGAAAATTCAATATTTTTCCATCATGACTGAAAAACACATCAGAAGGATATATCCTCACTTTACTGCAACTGAAAATCATATATTACAAAACTGGTCATGGACAAATACTAATTACCTATGTACATACCTGCGTATTCATCAGGGCTTTTAGACACTGTATGACTTTATGTTGATTTTTCTTTACAACTTTTTCTTGGCTGTATTGACATAAAAATAGCAGTGTTGGAATTATAATTGGACACATGAATGATGCTTACTTGAAAATAATTATTAGCAATACTTACATTTTTCCACTAATCAGTTTTTCCAAAATGTCTAGTAATAATCCAAGCCCCTCATGTCCAAAGTTTTCCACCCAACTGAAAAACAGAAAAAAGATAGTCACACATTGTCAGTAATGCAGCTTGTGTTATCATAATGTTATATACCTACAAGTATTTTATATTTGCTATATTCCTAATTGTAACTAAAACATAAGAATAACACCACACATAAAAATTATTCATGACTCACAATCTTGGTTGCAAAAGAAGCAAAGATGGGATATGCCAATAGTGTGCTAAACTCTGCTTGCACAAGTTTGTAAGAGCAGACTGTGCACATCTCTTACATGCTTCATGTTTAGGGACATCACATGGGTAGCTTGAAATCAGCCACAGTGAAAGTATTCACACCAAAGAAACTGGCAAACCAATCAGAGCCATCCCTGCCCACGCACCCAGAGCTGGCTCTAAACATTTACCAGCACACCACTAATTACTGCCTATTTGGGGCTATGCCAAAGAAGACAAATTGTACAAGTGAGTAAAGATCTATGGAGGAAAGATGTAGATCAACATAAAGAAAAAGATTATTGGCAAAAATTAATCAAAAAAAGGAGATGCTTTAGCAGAATTTCCCAAACCACTGAACTACATTCCTATAAATGTTAAGAATTTCCTAAGTTTCAAAGTTCAGTCGATTAAAAAAAAAAAAAAAATGCATTGCTGGTTTTTAAATGAGTATCTCCATCTTCAGCAAATGAAACCTGTCCCATAAACCCACTGACCCAATCACAGGACTTTACATAACTAGAACATTACTGTCACTAAACAACAGCTTGCCTGGATCACAGGAAAACTACCTTAGTAGAAATGAATACCTTTTTTCAGTGGAGATTAGTAAACCTAGGCCAATAAATAATACAATGATAATAATCTGTTGCCAAAAGAATGAAGGAAAGAAAAGATATACATGTGTATATTTATTTGGATGCATGTGCTTATATATGTGATTATATGTATGAATATATATAGTGTTTGAACAATAAGATGTTAAAAACAAAATTTCAGCCAGGCACAGTGCTCCTGCCTGTAATCCCAGCACTTTGGGAGGCAGAGGTAGGTAGATCACCTGAGATCAGGAGTTTAAGACTAGCCTGACCAACATGGTGAAACCTTATCTCTACTAAAAATACGAAATTAGCCAGGTGTGGTGGTGCATGCCTATAATCCCAGCTACTTGGAGAGGCTAAGGCAGGAAAATAGCTTGAACCCAGGAGGCAGAGGTTGCAGTGAGCCAAGATCACGCCATTGTACTCCAGCCTGGGCAACAAGAGCAAAACTCCATCTCAAAAAAAATTTCAAGGAATGAAAAACAGAACATTATAAAGAATAAAAACAAGCTTAAGTCATACATCAAAAAATACCAAAATATCATTTTTTCCTTAAGATACAATATAACATTTCTAGTGAAAACAAGACAATAAAAACCAAATGCAATATATTTATATAAAAAATACAAATATTATTTAAAATCCAGCTTCTTCATTTGCACATTTCTGTAAACACAACTTGACACCTATCAATGTTGAGGATTTCTGATTTTACAAAAAAGAAAAAGAAATTTGCCATTTAGATTGGCAATCTCTTGTCAGACAATATTTTACTCATATCTCGCCAGTGAAAGCCATGAAATAACTAATTTTTAAAACGTACTTAAACAGGAAAGATACTCTCTTGTGAAAGACTGAAGATTGCTATTATAGTTAAGGTAAGGAAAAATGTTAAACAGAGGTTGCTGTTTTCAAACCAGGATGCTACTTCAAAAGTGAAGGGTTTACTCTTTACTGTTAGCGACAGACAGATTACCAATAGGCATTTTGAATCTTGTTTTCATGATTCATGAAAACAACACAGCATCTCACTTAACTGTTTGCCTTGTTGACATCCTATTCTGAATTTATTCCTATTTCACATGCAGCAGGGAAGTGAGAAGTAATCTGAGAGTTTTACTTGGGCTGACATTGAGATGCATGGAGAGAGACTGTTCATAAGGCACTCCTCTTTAATATTTCACAGAGGGCCTTCAGTATTTTGTTTGAAGTAAATTTTCAACAATCTGCATATTGAAAAGTACAGCCACAAAGATATTCTAGAGCCAATATAAATGGTTTCAGATTATTCATACTGCTATCACCTTTAATCATTGTGAAGAATAAAATCACTGTTCATCAAACTGCCTCACACCAAAATAGGCAAAGTAATTTTAAATTATGTGAATATAACGAAAAGACCTAGTTACACTTAATATGCTTATATTATGACCCATTATAAAATTTAAGAAGCACAAATCCATGTAAATCAGTAAGTTCTTTGATCTACATAATTAATTTAAAAAATAGCTATTTAAAATTTATTACCCTTAACATAATTATAACTAGAATAGTGGGACTCATAGATGGTCTAAAGTCAACTATTTCTAGACCCACTGTATAACTCTCTCCTAAACTACAGAATATGAACTATTCAAATACAATTTATGCCTACTCACTCATTTTATATATAAACTAATTCTCTATAAAACAAAACTTATTAAAGTTCCATGTAAAGAGGCATTAAACCAAATCACTTCATCTATTACAATCTTTTAAGTCACTGAGGGAATTTCTCAACAACAATAAAATGAGAGTTGGGCAATGGCCTTCTGAAAACCAGATTACACATTATATTTCATAAAACATGTCAAAAACAAGAAAAGTGGGACAGGGTACAGGGAAAGAAAACTGAGACACTTGACAACCAAAGAAACAATATAAGAATTAAAAGAAAGCTAACAAAAGTACTTATTAATAAGATCAAAATTAAATATGCATAAAATGTCTCCCTGTTTTCTTAAAAATTTGCAAACTCAACATACTGTTGTATTAACAAGTGTCACTCATAAAGCAATAATCTCAAGTGTTTCACTCTCACCCCTACTATTTTCAGCAATATTATTTTTAAGGACGGGGTACGAAATCACTTCCTATTTCCACTGGAAAAGATGTTCAAGATAAAAAGTGATATTGAGTAGGTAGGTCTGCTGTCTTGACAGAGGTTTATTGAGATCCATAGCTTTCTACAAAAATGAAAAATTTCTCATCATCAGTGTAAGAAGCAACCTAAAAAAAGTTATCAACTGATCTATAAATGATCAATCTCCAGGAACTAAAATCTGCACTATTTCTTCTGTGCCTATCAGCATAGTACCATCAGGCATTATGTGGTTTAACTATAAACTGCATTCATGGATAAATATGCACATGTTTCTTTTTCATGAATAGAAATGACATAGAGATCAGTATGACATTTGTATCAGAAAAAACTGTTTTAAAAGAGCAACCGTAGTGTGCTAAATACTAATTTAACACAAAATCTACCTCTTAAAATTCTGTAACAGGAAATATCAAACTCCTCTAATTGCCTCAAGGAAAACTTCTAAGTATATTACCCTTTAGCACTCCTAGTAGGGGTCTCAATATAGGAGAAAAGAAGAGATGAATTTTAATAAAAATTAAACAAACAAACAAAAAAAAAAAAACAGTGGGAGAGGGAGAACAGATTCCCAGAATTACAATGTTTAACCCGCCTTTAAATGGTCAAAAGCAGCTTAGGCTTTGAAATTCAGTTACTACTTCCAGAAATACAGGATGAAGAAAGTGTATAAAGTGCTTTCTGACATGTTGTTGGCTTTAGGAAGCAAATACACTCAGTCACCTCATTGAGCAATACAGGCAACAATCAGGTCTCAGATTTATCTCCTGGCCAAAAGGAACAAAGCACTCTCAAGTATTTTTCCCCAAAGATTGACCCTCCTACCTTCCTTTGTTTTGTTTAAAGTACTACCTTTCTTCCCCGATGTGCTGTAGAAAGGGAAAGACAAATGCATCACGAATTATAATGGAATTAATCTTGGAATTATTACCCTTATGATCTGGAATAAACATACCAGATCATAAGAGCAATCTCAGATCATAAGAGCAATCTTACCTGATGCATACTCCTTGAGTATAGGGACCATTTCTTATATATCATATTTATTCAAGCATGGGATAGACTGAGCACTCAATAAATCATTTTATAATGAAACTAAGTCCCTTCTATTGTTATATATAAGAGGTTACAGTAACTTAGAAATAACATCTAGGTCTGCTGATAACCAGGCTTGTGGCCTTTATGTATGCAGAAATAAACACAGAGATGACGATCTCCACACCATGACTGAACCTGTCTCAACCTTCAAGCTAGAAATTTCAATTGCAATTTCAGAACTGTTATTTATTCATACTGAATCAAAGATGATAAATCCAAAGACAGGGTCTCACTCTGTCACACAGGCTGGAGTACAGTGGCACAATCATGTCTCACTGCCCCCTCAACCTCTTGGGGTCAAGCGATCCTCCTGCCTCAGCCCTCCTAGTAACTGGGACTACAAGCATGTGTCACCACATTCATCTAATTTTAATTTTTGTAGAGATAGGGTCTCACTATGTTGCCCAGGCCAGTCCAAACTCCTGACCTCAAGTAAATCCTCTCACCTTAGCTTCCAAAAGTTCTGGGATTACGGGTGTAAGCCACTACGCCTGGCCAAGTCAGCCTTTATTAAAGGGAACACCGTGTTCTTGATACTGCACTAGATACGAAAAATACAAAACTGAATAAAGTATGTTCTCTGCATGTTCTCTGCCCTTGAAAAGATCACAGACTAGTGGTTAAAACAAATATCGAACAAAATTATTTCCATAATGTAATAAATGCTATAGTCATGGCTCTCTGGGAACAGAACGTACAATATCTACCTCTCTTGGGAACTTCAAAGCATCTGCTGTCTGACTTGAGTCTTTCTAAGCAGGAGGGTATACACATGAAGACATTAAACATAAAAGAAATGGCCTGTGCTGAGCAACAGAGAAAGCTGTATCAGAGATAAAACCAAACAGGTAAGAAAGGACTTGATCTTGAAAAACCACATATATAATGCCATGGGCAATGGAAGGGCATAAAAGGACTAGGCATATGTAGTAAAGAAAGTAATTCTACCCTTGCCCAACAAAAGATCTGCACATCTTAAACTCAGAACCTATAAATATATTAGCTCATGTAGCAAAGCAGAAACTCAGGTTGCAGATGGAATTAAGGTTGCTAATCAGATGATTTTAAAATAGGAAAATTAACCTAGTTTATCCAGGTGGTTACAATCTAATCATGTAATTCTTAATTTCCCAGTTTAGTTAGACAGATGAGATGAAAGAAAGCGAGTCAAAGCATAAAAAGGGATGGGCACCCTGGCTCACACTTGTAATCCCAGCACTTTGGGCGGCTAAGGTAGGTGGATCACTTGAGGCCAGGAGTTCGAGATCAGCCTGGTCAACATGGAAAAACCTCGTCTCTACTAAAAAACAAAAATAGCCGGGTGTGGTGGTGAGTGCCTGTAATCCCAGCTACTTGGGAGGCAGAGGCAGGAGAAACCCTTGAACCCAGGAGGCGGAGGCTGCAGTGAGCCAAGATGGTGCTACTGCACTCCAGCCTGGGCAACAGAGCAAGGCTCTGTCTCAAAAAAAAATAAAATAAAAATAAAAGGGACTCAACTTACCTTTACTGGTTTTGAAAATGAAGGAGGCCAAAGAAGAGCCAAAAAATGTAGGTAGACTGAAAAACCTGGGAATGGCCCTCAACTGACAGCTAGAAAAGAAATGAGTCTTAAGCCCACAATCACAAGAAATTGGATTCTGCCAATAACCCAAATAGACAAACAAATTGAGTCTCTTATTCATAAACACTAGATGTCTCCATTTATTTGGATCTTCTTTAACTCCTTTCATCATTATTTTGTAGTTTTCAGCATAAAAGTCTATGGCTAATTCATTAAAATTACAATTATTTTTTGAGCAATTATGAATAGTATTGTGTTTTTAATTTCATTTTCCACAAGTTCATTGCTAGTACATAGAAATACAATTTTATATTTTTATCTTGAATCCTGCAACCTTGCTGAACTCAGTGATAAGTTCTAGCAGTTTTTGGTAGATTTCTTGAGATTCTCTATGTAAACAATCATATCATTTGCAAATAGGGACAGTTTTATTTCTACCTTTCTGACCTGCATGCCTTTATTTCCTTTTCTTGCTTCAGTGTTCTACCTAGAACTTCCCCATGGTGTAAAATAAGCATCCTGAAAGCAGGCATCCTTGCCTTGTTCTCAATCTGTCTTAGAGGGAAAGCATTTAGTCTTTCATCACTAAATAGAATATTAACTACAGGATTTTTTTAGATCTCTTTACCAAGTTAAGAAATTTCCCCTCTGTATTAGTTTCCTGGGGCTGCAGCAACAAAGTACCACAAACTGAGGAGTTTAAAACAACAAATATATTCTCTTGTAGTTCTGGAAGCAAGGTGTTCAAAATCAAAGTGTCAGCAGGGCTGCTGCCTGGCACTCTGGGTAGAATGCTTCACTGCCTCTTCCTAGCTTCTGATGGAAGCTGCCAATCCTTCCAGTCATCACATGAGACTCTTTCTGTATCTCTGCTTTCTTTTTTTAAGGACACAAGTCATGCTGGATCAAGACTTTACCCTACTCCCTTATGACCTCATCTTAAGTAATTACACTGCAATGACTCTGTTTCCAAAAAGGGCCACATTCTGCAGAGAGAGGGTGTTAAGAATTTACATATATCTTTCTAGGTTTACAACTGAACTCACCCTCTATTCCTACTTTTCTCAGAGTTTTCATTATGCACAAGTGTTGAATTTTGTCAAATGCTATTTCTGTATCGATTCAAATGATCAAGTGACTTTTCCTCTTTTGCTTGTCAATACAATGCATTATATAAGGATTTTTGTAACTATATTCATGATGAACGTGGGTTTGTAAGTTTGAGGGTTTTGGTTTTGTTTTGTTCTATCTCGGTACTGTATTGGTCTGGTTTTGCTATCAGGTAATTCAAGCCTCATTTAAAAGAAAATTAATTTTTCTCTGCTCTGTTATTTTCTGGAAGAGACTATGGAGAATCGGCATTAATTCTTCTTTAAGTTTGTGGTAAAATTCTCCAGTGAAATCACCTGCACCTGAAGATCTTTTGCTGGGGAGGAGGAACTTAATTCTCTTAATAGTCAGAGGGCCATCCAAATTATCGATTTCATATTGGGTGTGTTTTAGTAGTTTGTGTTTTTCAAAGAACTGATCTAGTTCATCTAAGTTGTTGAGCTGTGTATTTAAAGTTGTTCAAAGTATTTCCTTATTACCCTGTTGATATCTTGGTAATATTTCCCATTTAGTTCATGAAATTGGCAATCTGGCCACTGCTTTCAAGATGTTTTTATTTATCTTTAGTTTTCAGATTTTTTTTTTTTTTTTTTTTTTTCCCAGACAGTCTTACTCTGTCTCCCAAACTGGAGGGCAGTGGTGCAATCTCAGCTCACTGCAACCTCCGCCTCCTGGGTTCAAGCAATTATCCTGCCTTAGCCTCCCAAGTAGCTGGGACTACAGATACACACCACCATACTCGGCTAATTTTTGTATTTTTAGTAGAGACGAGGTTTCACCATCTTGGCCAGGCTAGTCTCAAACTCCTGACCTCAAGACACCCACCTACCTCAGCCTCCCAAAGTGCTGGGATTACAAGCATGGGCCACCGTACCCAGTCTAGTTCTCAGGAATTTGACTTTGATATGTTTGTGTGTGAATTTCTTTGAGTTTATCCTGTTTGTGATTCAGTTTATGTAAGTTTATATCTTTTGCCAAATTTGAGAACTATTCAGCCACATATATATATGTATATGTATGTATATATATATTATTTATTTATTTATTTATTTTGAGACAGAGTCTCACTCTGTCACCCAGGCTGGAGTGCAATGCGCGATCTCGGCTCACTGCAACCTCCTCCTCCTGGGTTCTAAGCGATTCTCCTGCCTCAGCCTTCCGAGTAGCTGGGACTACAGGCACATGCCACCACACCCAGCTAATTTTGTATTATTAGTAGAGATTGAGTTTCACCATGTTGACCAGGCTGTTCTCAAACTCCTGACCTCAGGTGATCCAGCTGCCTTGGCCTCCCAAAGTGCTGGGATTACAGGCATGAGCCACCGTGCCCACTCTATTCAGCCATTATTTCTTCATGTACTTTTTTATCCTGTCCTCTTTCTCCTCTCAAGACTCCAATGACAAGAATGTTAGATCTTTGGTTATAGACCCATAATTCCCTATGACTCTGTATGTATTTTTTTCCCAATCTATTTTTTCCTGGTTGTCCAGATTGTATACTTTCTATCATTCTATAATCTAGTTCACTAATTCTTTCCTTTCAGCCTCATGTTTTGCTTTTGAAGCCCTCCAATAAGCTTTTTACTTCAGTTTTTGTATTTTTCACTTCTAAGATTTCCATTTGGTTCTTTAAAAGAAGAAATAAAGCTTCCCCTATTTCTTTGCTGAGACTTTCTATTTTTTTTCTTTTGTTTCAGCACATTCCTATTTGCCTATTGTAACACTTTTATGATGGCTGCTTTTCAAAAGATTCTTGTCAGATAATTCTACCATCTCTGTCATATCAGTGTTGTCATCTATTGTCTTTTTTCACTCAGTTTGTGATTTTCTCGCTTCTTGGTATGACATATTTTTTATACTGAAGCTTGAAAATTTGGGATATCATGTTAGAAGATTATATAAATCTTATATAAACCTCTTATTTCAGTAAGCTTCCTGTGGCACAGTTCCAGTGGAAGAAGAGAAAGCATCACCTTGTTACTGCAAGGTGGAAACAGAAGTCCAAGAGAGATTCTTTGTTACCACCTGGCATGGATGGGAATCTAGGCACTCCCTGATGGAGAGAAGGACTGCCTCATTATGCTCACCATGTAACCTACAATAGCACTATAGAAGGGGGATGTGGACGTCTGTTATCACTGGGTAGTGGTGAAAGCCCTGACTCTATTGGCCTCTTTGGACACAATGCCAGTGGGGAGGGGGAAGAATGCCTCGTTACTGCCATCTGTAGGTAGAAATCCAGGCTACCCACTTTGCTTTTTGATAGTGGGGACAGGCGGTAGGGGGGGTGGGGATGGGGCCACAGATTTCTTTCTGTGGTATTCAGCAGAAATATAGAGCAGTTATTGCCAACATGTTCTGTCTTGTTTGCTGCCATTTTTGTAGTCCTTTGGTTTAAGAGAGAAGGCTTCTGTTGGGACTTCTTTGTTCTGTGCCCACTGTCATTTCTGGGTTACTCACTTCTTCACCTCCAAATCTGACAAAAAGGCAGAAAGACAACCCAGCAAACTCACAGGCATATTGTTCCTTAAGTCCCAAGGTTCCTAGCCCGTCTTCTTCTATTTGTTTCACATATAATGTCCAGTATTTCTAGTTGTGCTTAGCAAAAAAAATTAAAAAAAATAAGAGTGTATTTAGTCTATCTTTCAAACACAAGTCTGAAACATCCACTGCTAGAGTGTGAGAATAGGCAAAAACTCCCACCAAGAAAATCAGAAAAAGGCAGTGACAGTGGTAAGAGGAGAACCAAGTAAACCTGACATAACAAATCCAAAGGAAAGAAGAAGTTTCAAAAGACAGAAGAGTCAAGAGTCAAGTGCTAAAATGAGGTCAAATAAAATAAGGGCTAAAAAGAACTATAAATAAATGAATTCAAGAGCAGTTTGTAAATAATTCTGTGGAAGTGAAATCCTGATTGCAAAAGAATTAAAAGACAAAAGGGGTAGTAAGAAGAAAGAAAAACACATAATTTGGGATTAAAGAGTTGATGGAAGAAATTTGTAGGAGGACTGAGATGAGGATAATGAAAAAAAAAAACCGTGTGCAATAAACGCTATTACAAAAATAAACAGAGAATATTAGAGGAGCAAAGAAGATGCCTACCTCACTTAGCTAGGGCCTAGGAACAAAACCAAACTTAAAAAACTATGTCTACAATCTTGAAGTGGAATGATGCTC